TTGGTTCCCACTCATAGTCACCTTACGTACAACAGAATGAAACACTCTCAGGTCCTGTGTCATCCTCACAATAGTTGTTAAGCTTGAGCCCATTGTTGCAACCACTGTGTCAGTCCACCTCCTTGAGAGTCAGCCTCTTTTTCACTGACCATCTTCTTCATCAAGGATATGTCCTTCTCCAGGGACTGGTCCCTCCTGGTAACATGTCCAAAGTATCTGAGATGAAGTCTCACCCTCCTCGCTTCCAAGGAGCACTCTGGCTGTACTTCTTCCAAGACAGATTTGTTTGTTCTTTTGGCGGTTCATGGTATATTCAATATTCTTCGCCAACACCATAATTCAAAGATGTCAATCTTCTTCGGTCTTCTTATTCATTGTCCAGCTTTCACAAGCATATGAGGAGACTGAAAACACAATGGCTTGGGTCAGGCACACCTTAGTTCTCAAAGTGACATCTTTGGTTTTCAACACTTTAAAGAGGTCTTGTGCAGCAGATTTGCCCAATGCAACATGTCCTTTCATTTCCTGACCGCTACTTCCATGGGCACTGATTGTAGATTTAAGTAAAATGAAATCCTTGACGACTGCAATCTTTTTTCCATTTATCATGATGTTGCTTATTGGTGCAGATGTAAGGATTTTTGTTTTCTTTATGTTAAGGTGTAATCCATACTGAAGGCTGTGGTCTTTGATCTTCATCAGTAAGTGCTTTAAGTCCTCTTCACTTTTGTGCAAGCAAGGTTTTATCATCTGCACATCTCAGGTTGTTAATAAGTCTTCCTCCAATGCTGATGCTCTGTTCTTCTTCATATAGTCCGGCTTCTCAGATGATTTGCTCAGCATACATATTGAATAAATATGGTGAAAGGCTACAACCCTGATGCACACCTCTCCTGACTTTGAACCATGCAGTATCCCCTTGTTCTGTTCAAACGACTGCCTCTTGGTCTATGCACAGGTTCCTCATGAGCATAGTAAGTGTTCTGGAATTCCCATTTTTCACAATGTTATCCATAATTTGTTATGATCTACACAATCAAATACCTTTGCATAGTCAATAAAACACAAGTAAACATCTTTCTGGTATTCTCTGCTTTCAGCCAAGATCCATCTGACATCAGCACTGATATCCCCTTTTCCATGTCCTCTTCTGAATCCACCTTGAACTTCTGCCAGTTCCCTGTCGAGGTACTGCTGCGACCACTTTTGAATTATCTTCTGCAAAATTTTACTTGTGTGTGATATTAGTGACATTCTTAAATAATTTCTGCATTCTATTTAATCACTTTTCTTTGGAATGGGCACAAATATGGATCTCTTCCAGTCAGCTGGCCAGGAAGCTGTCTTCCAAACTTCTTGACGTAGATGAGTGAGCACCTCCAATACTGCATCAATTTGTTGAAACATCTCAGTTGGTATTCTGTCAATTCCTGGAGCCTTGTTTTTCACCATTCCCCTTTACTGCAGCTTGGACTTCTTCCATCAGCACTATCGGTTCCTGATCATATGCTACCTCCTGAAATGGTTGAACGTCGACCAATTCTATTCGGTATAGTGACTCTGTGTATTCCTTCCATCTTCTTTTGAAGTTTCCTGAGTTGTTCAGTATTTTCCCTGTAGAATCCTTCAATACTGCAATTCGTGGCTTGAATTTTTTCTTCAGTTCTTTCAGCTTGAGCAATGCTGAGCCTGTTCTTCCCTTTTGGTTTTCTAACTCCAGGTCTTTTTACATTTCTTTATAATACTTTACTTTATCTTCTTGAGCCATCCTTAGAAATCTTCTGTTCAGCTCTTTGACTTCATCATTTCTTCCTTTCACCTTAGCCACTCTACATTTAAGAGCAAGTTTGAGAGTCTCTCCTGACATCCATTTTGGTTTTTTCTTTCTTTCCTGACTTTTTAATGACCTTTTGCTCTCTTCACGTATGATGTCCTTGAGGTCATTCCACAGCTGGTCTGGTCTTTGGTCATTAGCGTTCAATCCATCAAATATATTCCTGAGATGGACTTTAAATTCAGGCAGGATATACTCAAGGTCGTACTTTGGCTCTCGTGGACTTGTTCTAATTTTCTTCAGCTTCAGCTTGAACTTGCGTACAAGCAATTGATGGTCTGTTCCGCAGTCAGCCCCTGGCTTTGTTGTCACCGATGATATTGAGCTTTTTCCATTGTCTCTTTCCCCAGAGGTAGTCAATTTGATCCCTGCGTATTCCATCCATCAAGGTCCACGTGTATATCACTGTTAATGTTGTTGAAATAAGGTATTTGCAATGAAGAAGTCGTTGGTCTTGCAAAATTCTATCATTCGATCTCTGGCATCATTTCTGTCACCAAGGCTATATTTTCCAATTACTTTTCCTTTTTCTTTGTTTTCAACTTTCACATTCCAATCACCAGTAATTATCAATGCATCTTGATTGCATGTTTGGTCAATTTCAGACTGCATAAGTTGGTAAAAAAATCTTCAATTTCCTCATCTTTGGCATTAGTGGTTGGTGAGTAAATTTGAATAACAGTCGTATTAACTGATCTTCCTTGTAGGCATCTGGATATTACCCTATCACTGACAGTGTTGTACTTCAGGATAGATCTGGAAATGTTCTTTTTAATGATGCATGTGATGCCATTCGTCTTCAGTTTGTCATTTTGGCATAGTAGACCATATGGATGTTGGATTCAAAATGGCCAATACCAGTCCATTTCAGCTCACTAATGCCTAGGATACCGATCTTTATGCAGTCCATTTCATTTTTGACGAGTTCCAATTTTCCTAGATTCATACTTTGTACATTCCATGTTCAGATTATTAATGGATGTTTGCAGCTGTTTCTTCTCTTTTTGAGTCGTGCCACATCAGCAAATGAAGGTCCCAAAAGCTTTACTGTATCCATGTCATTAAGGTCAACTCTTCCCCAGTTGTATTTGAGTGCCTTTCAACCTGAGGAGCTCATCTTCCGGCACTATATCAGACAATGTTCTGCTGCTATTCATAAAGTTTTCACTGACTAATTTTTTCACAAGTAGACCGCCAGGTCCTTATTCCTAGTCTAGAAGCTCCTCTGAAATCTGTCCACCATGGGCGACCCTGCAGGTATTTGAAATACTGGTGGCATAGCTTCCAGCATCACAGCAACATGCAAGACACCACAGTAAAACAAAATGACAGCTGCAAGGGGCAATGTACTTCATAATAGCACAAAGGAGGTGGGTGGGAGCAAAGCTGTACTGGAGTAAGGAAATGATCCCAGATAGTAACTCAAATCCACAGGAACAAATGAAGAAACCTGAAATGGTAATAGGAAGGTTAATAAAGTCTATGCTCTATCAATACATACTCACTCTTCTTTCTTTTCTCAGTTCTTTTAGACATAAAATTATACGATCATCATAACAATTTGTTGAGTTTGTAATACTGTGTCTTTATATAACATATATAACATGTTCTTCAGTGACAAAGAAAGTATGTTACAGGACACATTATATATAAATATATAATTGGTTATAGCAACAACTTAAAGGAGAGGAGGGATGGTGTAAGTATAGAGTTTTTGTATGTTACTGACGTTGAGTTGGTATCAATTCAATCTAGGTTGTTATAAATGCAAATGTTAACTGTAATATTCATTGTAACATGTTCTTCACAGGGCTGACATCACGTCACGTGAGCCGTTTCCTTTTACATCTTTGGTCTTCCCTACCACGGCCTCCTTTTGCCTGAGCAAGTTACTAAACTTGGGAGCTCCTGAAAGGTGGGGGCTCCATGTTGATCAATTAGCCACCTCCCTCCGTGAACAGGAAGCAGGTGGGTCCGGGTTTGAATATCAGCTGCTATGAAACAGAAATACGGACGGTGGCGGTTCCGTGGCAGAATTCTCGCTTTCCATGAGGGAGACTTGGGTTCCACTTCCGCCCAATGTACCTCATGCACAGCCACCACCGATCCATCCCTGTAAGCTTCTGTGTTGCTATGATGCTGAACAGGTTTCAGTGGTGCTTTCAGACTAAGACTAGGAAGAAAGTCCTGGTGATCTGCTTCCAAAAACCTTATGGATCACAAAGGTTCGCTCTGCCACAGATTATGGGGATAATGCAAGACTCATCAGAGTTTCATTCCATTGTGCTTGGGGGTCTCCATGATTTGGGGCGACTTGAAGGCAGCTAACAAAAACAACAACGATGAAACACAATTCAGATCCCAATAACAACAACAACTAGCACTCAATCGCTTAATGAATGTGCACGCGGGTTAATGGTTGACTGCTCTGTGCCCAGTGCTTTATGCGGGTTTTCTCTTTTAGTTCTTGAAAGATGTCTAAGAGAAAGATACTAATGTTATCCCTTTTTACAGATGAGGACTCTCAGGTCCATGGCTCGGGACCTCCCTGGGACACTTCCCGGGAGAAGAGGCTCCGAGTGGGGAGACACACCGGGGTCTCATCATAAACACGCGGGTCTCAAGGCCCCAAATGCGCGGTTAACATTATTAGCGTCTTGGGGAAGCGGAACTTCAAGCCAGCCCGGAAAGGTCCCTAGAGGGCCTACAACTTCCAGCGTGCCCCGCGCGCCGGCGTTCCATTACGCCCGAGTGGACCAGGAGGGGATCGCTTCGCTTCCTCCTGGGATGTGTAGTCTTGCTACTGATAGGGGCAAGCCTGTGAGCGATAGATGGACCTAGAGCCAATGACGTAGCGTATCTGGTTGAGAGCTGGGCCGAGGAGGCAATGAGAGTGCGGCCTCGGGGGGGCGGGACATCCGGCAGCGAAGCCGTGGTGAGCGTCTGCGCGAGGGCAGTCACTTCTTTTTGCGGGTGGCGGCGATCGCTGAGGGATCGGCATGAAGGCCTCGGGCACGGTAAGCTGGCCGCGGCGGGGCCGGGGGTCGTGGGGCAGGGTGCAGCTTGGTTCGGGGTTTCCGGGAAGCGTCGCAGACCAGGTCTGTGCGCTCAATGCTTCCTGGGTCCTAAGCGCCCGCGCGCTGCCGTCCTCTTGGCCAAGCCAACATGGCGGAGCCGCGTGGAGAGGCCCGCGTTGGCGGCCCCGGCCCTGCTCGGGGATGGGGGTCCGAGAAGGTCGGGTCCCCACTCCGGAGGAGGGGACAGTCAGCGCGGCATGGAGGCGTACGTTGCAGGACGTCGTGCGGCCGCCAAACCTCAGTTTCTCCACCTGAAAAGCGAACGTCGTAGGGGAAGGAATAGTTGGGAAGAGCAGCAAGGCCGACCGGTCAGGTCCAGAGCTGGAAGTAGTAGCTGAGTTTGTGGTATTTGTGGCCAGCTTTCATTAATACTAATAAAAAACCTGGCGGATCATTTACTGAGGTAGCTCCTTTCTGCCGCCTTACGCGGATTGGGCTTGAATTTGACAAAAGATTCTCACCTTTGACTGTAAACCGGGAGCGTAACTGGTCCGAACGCGCAGATTGTCACTTCCTGTCTCTGGGCCTCCGCGTGGCAGGACAGTAGCTCGAAGTTGGAGGAGGAGGCTGTCAGCCCAATGAGCTGCAAAGTGACTGTGTGACAAGGATTGCTGCTGGGAGGCTTTGGGTGTAAGTGTCAGCTTTTGTTAATTGCCGTGGAGTATAATTCTGCTCCATAGGGTTTTTATGGCTATGACCCTTTCTTCTGAGGTTCCTCTGGGTAGGTTTGAACTGCAAATCTTTCAGCTAGTAGTCAAGCACTTAATCTAACTTGAGCCACCCAGGGAGGCCTCAGCTTTGCTATGTATCTAAAGGGAAGGGCAATGTTGAAGAGTTTCCTGGTTGATGAGGGTGAACCTCTTCAGCATGTCCCCTTGAGAGGCTGAGTCCCCATGCTCGGACCTCTCCCATGGGACCCCTCCCAGACCTTGCTCTATGCATATCTTTATTTCTGTTTGTGTCTTTTTTCTGTATCTTTTTTTGGTATGTTAAAAGTTGTTATTGAAGGAAAAAGAAGGGAAGGAGGGTAGTGTTGCTCGCTCGGAAAGCCCTGCCCAGCCTTGCTGACAAGCAGGACAAAGGGGTAACAGCATCTCTGTTAATCCTCTCTGGAGCTCTTGAGCCCAAATTCCCCGTGGAGGCCCTGGGGTGACACCCTGTGTTGGGAAAGGGTGGGTGTGTCTCTACAGTCACCCTTGAGGGCTCTGGGTGCTGGTCCCATCTCTTGCCCCCTCCTCCCCTCAGCTTCGTGAGTACAAAGTGGTAGGGCGCTGCCTGCCCAACCCCAAGTGTAAAACGCCACCACTTTACCGCATGCGCATCTTCGCCCCCAACCATGTTGTCGCCAAGTCCCGCTTCTGGTACTTTGTGTCGCAGCTGAAGAAGATGAAGAAGTCTTCGGGGGAGATTGTGTACTGTGGGCAGGTATGGCAGTGGGGCGTGAAGCAGAGCGGGGTCTGGGTGCGGCTTTGCCTTCCTGGGGGTCAGCCAGCATCCCTGCAAAGTTACACAGTTCACAGAGCTTGGTCATGCTCCATGAGACGGTGTGCCCAGCCCCTGGTGACAAAGCTTGAGCCCAAGGAGGGGTGTGGCTGGAAGGGGCAACACTTTGCTGAGGCAGTTGATCCTCCCCAGGCCTTAACTATAAAGCAGAGGAGATGGTGCTGGGTCCCTGAGGTTCATGCAGGAAGAGGAAGCACAAGGGGTGGTGCTGTCACCTGGGTACTTGTGTAGGCACTGGCTCAGTGCGTAAGGCCAGGCCCAGACCAGGGGGAACTATCTGGGGATCAGCCCTGTTGGTCCACACGGGGGAAGCAGCCCTACCTGGTCCTGCCGTGGGCTGTTTCTGTGAGATTTCCCTTAGGTTGCAGGCTTCCTAGTTGCCTGATGGTGCAGGGACTGGAAAACTGAGGCACTGAGAACTGGGCCCTGGCAGAGGCCCCCTTGCTGCCTCTTCTCAGCCCAGCCCTTGCCTTGGCAGGTATTCGAGAAGTCCCCCCTGCGGGTGAAGAACTTCGGCATCTGGCTGCGCTATGACTCCCGCAGTGGGACCCACAACATGTACCGGGAATACAGGGACCTGACCACCGCAGGCGCTGTCACCCAGTGTTGTAAGCACCCCACCTCGTTCCCCCAGACCTGGGCAGGCCAGATACAGAAGACATCAGGAAGGGGGTTGGGGGGCAGGTTTGCAGAGGACACTTGAAGCCTCTGTTGTGCCTTTCTCTGGAAACTGGCAACAAGCAGACCTTGAGGATTGTTGGGGAGGGGGTTGGGGTCTGCTTAGCTCCCTGTCCGAGCCCTGCTTCCCAGAGCCCAGTTCAGCCCGCTGTCCAGTTGGGAGCCTGTGCCATTTCCCATCTGGAGGTTGTGTGTTCCCAGTACCTGTTCTCCAGTACCTACCAGTGTGGCTCATCAGCAGGCCTTTCTGTTCGCACCTAAACCCAAGAACCGCGGTTTCTCATAGCAGCGGTTTAAACAGTGGTGCACACAGCAAGTGGACCTTGTCGCCTTTGTGGGGCCGTCTCATGCCCCCCAGAGTGAATATGGAGGTTCTACACCCGTGGTGGCTGGGCTACAGGGCCATGTGGGGTCACTCGGGACTGAGCAGTACAAGGTGGGAGGTTTGTGTTCAACTTTCCCCACAGACCGCGACATGGGCGCTAGACACCGCGCCCGCGCCCACTCTATCCAGATCATGAAGGTAGAGGAAATTGCAGCCAGCAAGTGCCGCAGGCCTGCAGTCAAGCAGTTCCACGTGAGTGTCCAGGTCCCTTGGGGGCTGGAGGAGGGAGGGGATGGTTCCTTTAGAGAGGCTGATGGGGGCAGCCACACCTCAGTAGCCTTGGAAGAGGTTCAGAGGCCTCTCGCTGGCTACTCACCTCGCCTGCTCCTCCTCTTCCCCTAGGACTCCAAGATCAAGTTCCCACTGCCTCACCGGGTCCTCCGTCGCCAGCACAAGCCACGCTTCACCACCAAGTGGCCCAACACCTTCTTCTAGCTGCAGCCCCTCCCCCACCCTGGTCTGCTCAATAAACTCCTTGGGGACTGATGATGGGGGCCCAAATGGTGTTTTCTTTGCCTGCCGTGCAGAAATCAGAAGGGCACAGTGTTGGATGTGAGCCTGGGCTCCTCTCGGCTATGCTGCCGGTTCTAGCTCCTGTGCATTCCAGCAAACCGCCTGTCTGCTCCTTCAGTGGGGCCCAGAGCCACCGCCCCAGAGGGGGCATCCAGGGCCGGATCCTGCCAGCTCCTTCCTGCCTCCTCAACTCCTGGGGCCCCAAGTAGGGGTCCTGGAGTCAGGCTGCCCAGGTTCCAACTCTGGCTTCTCTGTGGTGGGGCCCGGGCCAGACTGAGTGATGATTGTAAGGGGATGTGTAATTTGGAATACACTAAGGCCGTAATCTTTCCTTCTTGCCTCATGGAACAGAGGCTTCAGCTCCCTCCATTTCTGCTGGTGATAGCTTGGGGGAGAAAACCAAGATGGTGGGGTTCCGATGGACTCCTTTTCTTCCATCCCAACCAGGGCCTCCCTCCCTACGAACTCTCACCTAGAACCTGGAGAAACCTCCAGGCTGACACAAGGGGCCCCCTGAGGGGCACAAACTTGCTGTGCCGAGAGTTACTACCCTCCCCCTGTTGGGGATCCTTCGGGCTGCCTTAATCCTGTCCCAGGAGGCAGCTAGGTCCTCACCTTGGGTATTTGTCTCCAGGAAACCACTTTAGGCCGGAGAATTCCAGGGACAAACTAATCCCATCCTGCCTGAGCCAGCACAGATGGGGCATAGAGGCCTAGTTCAGAGTTCTGGTCTCTCTGACCTTGGATAGCCCCGGCTTTCTGAGGCTTGCTTTCCAGTGATCACACAAGTCAGGAGGAAACTGAGGTACAGGTAGTGGTGGGGGGGGCAGGACAGAACATTGCCTGCCTACAGACCCTGTCATACCTCCCCACCACTGTACCCTTGGGGAAGAGCTGGGTGACAAGATCAGCCTGGGTGGGTGCCAGAATTAGGCCACTTCAAACCACATTCTGGGCAGTCCCGGTGTGCATGTGGCAGCGGTTATTCTTGTTGGAACCTCATAAACCTGTTCCTCCAGCACAACTGACACCTTCCTACTTCATCCTTTGCACCTGCTGAGCTCTCTACCTGGAACATTCCAAGATTGTCACCCCATTTGACCTATCACGGAAGGCATTCACGTCTGTTGGCATGACTTGGTTTTGTTTCTGCTGCTATCAAACTATGAGTGTAGGAGGGCAGGGACCGTGTGTCCCCATTGGACAGAGCGCTGAGCTCTGTACACAAGAAAGGTTCGTTAAGCCTTGAGAGGGCGAGTGGAACCTAGAGAAACTCCGACTCCTGGTCTTCACATTGCCAAATAACCCTCAGGTGTACCAATCACCCAGCTGCATTCAAAGACAGGCCCTGTTTTCAGCATAACCAACACAGGGTTATCAACTTGGATGGGTGAAAAATCACATCTTTTGATTTTAACTTGGGTTTGCATCTTTCTTGAGGAAGCTGAGCAACTTTTCCTGAGTTTATGGACATTTATGTTTCCCTATTTTACATTAGCTCATTCCTCTAGTGGGCTGCTGATAATTTACTGTTTTGTAAGAACTCTACATATGCAGAACAAAGCCTGCAGATACCTCCAATACATACCTGGCTGGAAAGTGAGTATGACTGGTGCAACAGCAGACATCTTGGACCACATGGAAGCCATCCATGGCAGAGCAACAAGCTGGAAAGAGCTGGGTCCTTGAGTGTGGAGCCACCTGTGGAGTGTTTCTCTTCCTCCCATCCCTGTCCCAGCTTGAGCCATCTACCCCTGCATGTCTAGAACACAAGCGAGAAGGAAAAACCAGTCCTCTTTAGGGTATTATCTGGGGCTCCTCTGTTACCCACGATAACCTCGCGTTGGGGCACCATGGCCCTGATGTCTGTGCCTGGGGCAAGTCATTGCCCATTCTGAGCCATGGTATCTTCTAGTGTTAAGTGGGAGTGGTGACCCCACAGGTCTGGAAGTGCATCAGGTGAGCTAGAGGTTGAGAGACCAGGAGGCTTATCCTGTAGGATGCACCAGAAGGAGTCTGGGAAGTTGGGAGGTGGACCAGGACACCCCCATCCCAACTTTAGGCCACTCCCTATGCCTTGGACCTCTGCCAGGGCTTCATTCACATAGCACAGCCTGAAACCAGGTACAGGGGCTCTGCCCCAGCTGGCCAAGGGATTGACCAAAACTTGAAACAAAGATGAGTGAACCCCTAGCTCCCTAAACCATCCACCCTGCCATCAATTCCACCTTTTATGAATCTGCCTATAAACCCTTCTACCCCCTGTGAGCTCCCCATCCTTCCATCCAGTGTTGGAGCCTTTTACCATCTCATCATCTGCCCATCCATACAGCCACCCACCCATTTGTCTATTCACTGACTCATTCCATCCATCCACCACTCATTTGTCCATCTTCTACCTAATCCCCATCCATCCACCATGCCTTTGATCCAGTCTTTTAACCTTAAACCCTACTTCATACCGGCACCTATGCTAGGTCAGCTCCGGAGCCTGACAGGACAGAGAGAGCCTGGCTCTGCCTCACAGGGAGAAGAGCAGCCACAGACCCTGCTCAGAGCTTGCTGGAGGCAACAAGGCCTGCTGAGCCAAGCCTTGGCTGTTGAGGAGGTGGGGTTCCTAGGTGCCAGGACCAGCCAGATCAGAGGCACAGAAGTGGGAGGACTCTTCTAGGTAACATTTCCATGTGGCTGGGGGGGCTTGCTCACTGATTCTGTGGTACTCCTCTCTCTTGTTGGCTGGGGGCCATGGCAGTGAGTTCTGCCCGGCTCACCCTGCCTGCCCAAGGATGAGCCAGGGCATTTACCCGAGAACCCAAGGCACACCCCAGCAGGCCTTCCCCACCTTCTCAGCTACTGAGAGCCCCAAGGTCCTGTTCTTGGGCATGGCCAGGTGCCAGGTGTTGGGCATGAGCAGGGCTGGGAGCCTCGACCTCTTCCTGCCTCACTCTGCACCTCTACTCCTGAGTCAGGACCAGTGGGTTCCAGCGTGGAGAACTGAGACCCCAATCTGAAACCAGAGGGACTATCTGGGAAATATGGAATTGGGAACAATAGTCTTGGGATCTTCAGAACTTAGAATCGTAGAATCTTATAGACAAGAGCAACATTTACTGAGCCGAGGGCTAAAGTTCAGAGCCATGTGGCCTGGGTTCAAATGCTGGCTATGGGGAATGTGTTAGCTCTTAGTCCACAGGTGGCACATGAACCACCAGGTCCACCCACAGTTCAGTGGTGGAGCCTGCAGAGCTCACGATCCCCCACCGCTGACCCTCGCTGTATCTCCAGGGTGCCACCACTCACCCACGCAGCACCCTGACACTGCCACCAAGAAAAAAAACAAAAAACCAAACCTGTTGCTGTTGAGTGGATTCCAACTCATAGCAACCCTATAGGACAGAGTAGAACTGCCCTATAGAGTTTCCAAGGAGCACCTGGTGGATTCAAACTGCCAACCTTTTTGTTATGAGCCATAGCTCTTATCCACTACACCATGGCACCCTCCAATTCTGCCCCTTCTAATCAGGCTGTCTGCAGTGGCTGCTTCTTCAGGATTTTTCCTGCACCTGTCCCCATCCTGCACATTGAATTCCAGAATGTTCTGGATCTGCCCACTTCTCCCCACCCCTAAGCTCTTGTCCTAAAGGGCTTTTCAGGCCCCTGGTCTACTCCAAACTCTCCTGTGTTTTCCCAGCACCCTTAGAATCAGGTCCTTGTGCCCCTCCCTCCCCCTCACTGACCCTTCATTTGTTAGCTTCAGCCACCCTGGCCTCCTGGCTCTTCTTCAAACTCACAAGCTTTACCCATCTGAGAGCCTTTGCACCTTCCGTTCCCCCTCCCTGGAGCCCCGTGCCGCCAGCTCTCTCCATGCTTGGCTACCCTTCTGCTACTAGTCTCTGCTCACCGCCTCCAGGGGCCTGCTCCCAGAGTCCTCCCTCCAGATTCGCCCCCCCCCCATCCAGTTCACCTCCATCTTTCTCCTGGCCTCACTGTTGTCATCCTTTACCTTCTGAATTGGGTACTCAGCTGCAGGCTAAGTCAGTGCCCTGAGCTGACATGCAGAATAGCTCTACCTGTCCCACTGTGTCCCCAGCTCCCAGCATGGGGCCCTGTACACAGTAGACACTCAATCTATGTGTAGGCTGAAGGAACAGGACTCTCAGCCCAGGTATCCGGCTCAGTTGAGACTCCCACAGAAGGGGGGACAGTGAGGGGACACGGAGCTGGCAAGAGGAGAGCCTCCCGGGGGATACAGGGCCAATTTGCATACATCTGCATGACTCTTCAGGCAGGGGATCCCTGCCAGGATCTCCCGTTTCCCTCCAAGTTTTCCAGAAGGGTCTTCCACTTTCTCTAAAAGGGTGGGGCAGGGTCAAAGGCCAAGTCTCCACTGCCTTTCTCTGGTTCAAACAGTCCCCAATCCCAACTGCCTGAGTCCCCCTCTGGGTCCCTCAGGGAAGGGCCCTGAGATGATGGCACTGGGTCCCTTAGCTGGTGACCCCAGGCTAAGAACTTCCCCTTCCCATGCCTCTGAGTGATGGGGACACACCAAACTCAACCTCTGGGGGAAGTTAGGAGTCTCCACTGATTCAGATTCACGGCCCTTGATACTGCCCTCCCCCTCCCCCCGTGACCTCCATCAGCATCTACCCTGCCTGGCTCCGTGCATGTTGGCTGAAATAATAAATGAAGGAAAGAATGATGAATGAGGTGCTTACTACAAGCCAGCTTTGAATTACAAAGGTCCGAGGTGTTACTGTGGGAAAGAAAAAATCAAACCTGTTGCCATCGAGTCAGTTCTGACTCATGGTGACCCCATGTGCTTCCGAGTAGAACTGCTCCATAGGGTTTTCTTGGCTGTAATCTTAATAGAAGTAGATTGCCAGGCCTTTCTTCTGCAGCACCACTGGGTGAGTTTGAACTGCCAACCTTTCGATTAGTAGTCGCTGAGGCAGGGCTATTTTATCCTCATTTACAGATGGGAAACTGTGGCCCAGAGAAAAACAGACACCCCAAGGATGTAGCCAGAACCAAAACTTGAACCCAGAGTGTTACCCACCCACTCAGCCTGAGGGTGGGGTTTGGGGATGTCCTCCATCTGGGCTCTAGAGAAACAGGGTGGGTCCAGGTGCTGGTTGTGGGGGCTCAAGCTAGGCAACTGTTCCTTATAGGGTTCCTCAGCCCTGAAAGCAAACCCCAGTCCTGTGGAAGAATGCGCTCCCCCTAGCTAGAGGTACACAAGCACTACTGGGAGACAAGCCTGGGTGTGAATCCTAAAGCCGCTGCTCCCGGTTGTGTAGCCTTGGGCCAGTGACATGCCCGCTCTGAGCCTCAAATTCCCCACCTGTCAGTGGGGCATATTAACAGCCTGTGTCAGAGCACATGCTAGCTGCAGCAAGCGGGGCATCTAGGAGCCTCCCTGCCCCCACCCCCCAACAACCGCCCACTTGGCCCGCCAGGGCCTGTCCGCGCTAGTCCAGGGAAGAAAGGGTGCGGTCTCTTTCAGCTTTGGGGGTGGAGCTGCGATGACCCCAGGGCGCCAATAAATCTGCAGCCTGCTGCAGCCGATTCCTCCTTTAAGCCCCACCGCCACCTAGAACTGTAGCTCCGGACAGCGGGCGGCCGGACAGACGGCTACACGACGCAGTCGGACTCCGGGGGAACGGACAGACGGCAGAGGCAGAGGCAGACTCGTAGACCGAGAAGAGGGACAGGGAAGCACGCAGCGGCAGCGAGGACCCACAGACCGTTGCCCAGGGAATCCCTTGCCCCGGCCCCTCCCCGTCCCCCGCATCAGACAGACGGCGACAGGCGGGGGATTCGCTGTGGCCGGTTCCTCCTGTTCGGTGGTTGCTAGCTTCCCTCGCGTGGGGTGGAGGGCGGCACACGGGACGCGCGCGCAGGGACGCAGAGAGTCTTGGCGCCCCCGCCAGCACTGATGGCAGGCTTCACCGCTGGGGCGCAGACCACCTTCGGGGCCTGGGACTACGGGGTCTTTGCGCTCATGCTGCTGGTGTCCACAGGCATCGGGCTGGGGGTCGGGCTGGCACGCGGCGGGCAGCGCAGCGCGGAGGACTTCTTCACCGGCGGCCGGCGCCTGGGGGCCCTGCCGGTGGGTCTGTCCCTGGCCGCCAGTTTCATGTCAGCGGTGCAGGTGCTGGGCGTGCCTGCCGAAGCCTACCGCTACGGCCTCAAGTTCCTGTGGATGTGCCTGGGCCAGGTGCTCAACTCGCTGCTCACCGCCACGCTCTTCCTGCCGGTCTTCTACCGCCTGGGCCTCACCAGCACCTACCAGGTAGGGCAGGGGTGGGGGCAGACGCTGCCTGGCGGGAAACGCGGAGTCGGGAGGCCCCAGGGCTTCGAAGCGCTGCTCTGAAGTCGGCGGCTCCTAGGAACTTTAATGAGGGGGTTCGAGGCTGACAGGTGGGAGCGTTCTGGGAAGCAGCCCGAGGCAGTGGGGCGAGGGGCAGAAATGAGGAAGAGCTGCGGGTGGCCTAGTTCCCAGGCAGGGCGGAGCCAGGCGCGGCCAGGAGTGGGGCACGCTTGGCGGCGGGTACACAGCTGCACCCCCTGCTCTCGAGTGTGCGTCCGCAGGAGTGCGCGCCGGCAGGGCAACCACTGTTGGGGATTCGACACTCGACTTCACCGTCTTAAACCCCGTTGCCGTCCAGTCGATTCCGACTGGGAGTCACCATCTTGGGTTTCTCCAATAGTCCAACCCCCCCCCCCAAAAAAAGCAAACCAATTGCTGTCAAGTCGAATTCCTACTACGCATAGCAACCCTATAGGACAGAGTAGAACTGCCCCATAGAGTTTCCTAGGCTGTAAATCATGGCGGAAGCAGATTGCCACGTCTTTCTCCCAAGGAGCGGCTGGTGGACCTTCCAGTTAGCAGCCCAGCGCTTAACCACTGCCCCGAGGGCTCCTGCTTCAATGGCCGAACAGGGCTAATTACAGGTCTCCTCCACAGCATGGGGTAAAACGATTAAAATCGTGAGGTGTATACAGTAGGCGCCCAATAACCGTTGGCCACGGACACTGTCTGTATGGGGCGCCTGCAGACCCGTCAGTGTACACAGAGTGGAGGCGCCGGAGAAGTCCGGGCGGGTCAGACGCGAGTGGGGACCGTGTGCGCACGGGTGACCGGTCCTCCTGCGCCCACGCTGTGTACACAGATGCGGGGATGGCGCGTATGCACAAGTGTGTGCAGACAGGTCGGTGTGTGCGCGTGATGGGGGCCACCGCCTGCAGCTGAGGCGAGCGCAGTTGGCTTCCAGTGGGCAGAGACCAAGGTGGCGAACGAGGGTTCTGGGAGGCCTCAGGTCCCCGGACAGGGCCGGTCTATGTGATCACGAGCGCTCGGCTCCTTCTTGCAGTACCTGGAGCTGCGCTTCTGCCGTGCAGTACGGCTCTGCGGGACAGTCCAGTACCTAGCGGCCACCGTGAGCGGCCCTGGCCCTGTCCTCTCCCCGCCCCACCTTCCTTGGCCCAGACCACAGCCAGACCTGAACCTGCCCGCATCCTACACAGCCCCAGCCCTGCCCCGTAGGCCCCGCCTACAGCCCGGCCTGGCCCCAGCCTGCAATGCCTGGTCCCCACCCCGCAAGCCTTCCCCATTCGCCCGGGCCCCCCTCCTCGCCCCTCCACGCGGGACGCCCCCCTCAACCCCCTTACCAGCCCCGCCCGCTAACTGCAGCTGCTGTACACTGGCATCGTGATCTACGCCCCGGCGCTCATCCTTAACCAAGGTTTGGTTCTGGGGACAAGGAGAGGGGGTCAGGAGGGCCGACACAAAGGAGTTAAAGGCTTTGCGGCTGGACTTAAGGAGGGAGGAGGTGAAGGGGCTGCAGGGGCGCCCAGCGCGACTCTGGGAAAGGGTAAAGAGGGAAGAATTCTCCTGGAGAAAGGAGCGCCCAAGGGGAGTCACAATGCAGCCTAATGTAGGGGTCTCCCGGCACAGTGACGGGGCTGGATATTTGGGCGTCACTCCTGTCCACCGGCGTCATCTGCACCTTCTACACGACTGTGGTGAGTGGCCCCGTGAACCCACCCCACCCCTACTAAGGTCTGCAGGGTCTCTGAGTGGGAGGAGACCCCGAGTGGGCTGCCTAACCCCTATCTCCTTGCTACCCAGAGAAGCCCATGTCCCAGCTGGACCTCAGTTTCCTCATCTGTATAATGAGATCTGAAAGGCTTCTCTATGGCCCTGTGTTATTGCTGAGTCCAGGGATAACTGGCTTCAGGCATGGCTGGATCCAGGGGCTCCTCTGGATCCTTCTCCTGTCTCTGGGGCTCCATCAGCTTTAGGCTTCCTTCCATCCCTTCTGGTGAGAAAGTGAGCTTCTGTTTCAGGATGGGGCTGCCTAAAGTCCCAGGGAGGGCTCTGTTTGGCTGGTTCCCTTGTGTCCAGGTTGAGCTATTCAAGGCAGTTTAAGGGGCTAGGATGCTCTGATTGGCCATTCCTGGAGCTGGGGCTGGGCCAGCCTCACCTAAATGGACTGTGAGGGGAGGAGAGGCTTCTCCATAGGAAAATCTAGGGGCTGCCTTGGGAAGGGAGTCCCTGGGTGGCGAAAATGATTAATAGCTCCCCTGCTAACCGAAAGGTCGGCAGCTTGAATCTACCCAGAGGTGCCTCAGAAGAAAGGCCTGGCGATCTACTTCTGAAAGATCACAGCCTTGAAAACCCTGTGGAGCACAGTTCTAGTTTGACACACATGGGGTTTTCGTAAGTTGAAATTGACTTGAGGGCAACTGTTTTTTTTTTTTTTTTTTTTCCCTTCAGAAGACAAAAGCATGGAGTCTGGATGAGAAAAAAAACAACAGCTAATAATAGTAGCAATAGTAGTAGTAGCAATAATAATAATAGTAATAATAATAATGGCAACAATCACTCAAAAAGCACTTGAATGTGCCAGGTTCTGTTTCAAGTATTTTTCACTTACTTATTTAATCTTCACACCACTCACTACGAGGGTGGTACTATTATTAGCTCCATTTTACAGATGCGGAAACTGAGGCAGAGCGGAGCATTGGTCCCAGCCACCGCTGGAGGCCAGGCCCAGTTGGCCCCAGCCAAATGCCCCATCTGACCTTCTCCCCTTGTCTCTGCCCCATTTCGCAGGGCGGCATGAAGGCTGTGGTCTGGACTGATGTGTTCCAAGTTCTGGTGATGCTTATGGGCTTCGGGGTGGTCCTGGCCCGCGGCACTATGCTCATGGGCGGGCTTCAGCGAGTGTTTGAGCTTGCCCAGAACCACTCCCGGGTCAACCTGATGGAGTGAGTGACAATGTGGAGGGGGACGCCACAAAGGGATGGAGCTGGCATCCCTTTGTGCCCTGGGGGAAGCCAGCAGATGCTCTCTCCTCTGGGAAGCCCTCTCTGACCCTCAGACAGAACAATGGCTTCTCCTCTCTAAGCTCCCCCAGCCTCCATCTGCCCTAGCCTTGACCCCCACCAGGCTGGGGGGCGGTCTGTGTCCACCTCTGCTCCCCTTCGTTCTTTGCCCAGGCTGGAAGTTGAAGCCTCTTTGAGGTCCCAGCTGGGTACAGAAAGAATGGTTTTGAATGCATACAAGAATGACTCCATGAACAAATAAATGAATTTTCAATCTGGTGAACATCTACTCACCCTTCAAAACCCACCCCAAATGACCCCTGAACACCCATAAAGCCTGGAATGGCCACTGGGACCTTCAGGAGGGTGAGGTCAGTGTGGCCCCACATGACATGCCTTCCCTGCTCCAGCTTTAACCCTGACCCACGGAGCCGCTACACATTCTGGACTTTTGTGGTGGGTGGCACGTTGGTATGGCTCTCCATGTACGGCGTGAACCAGGCGCAGGTGCAGCGCTATGTGGCCTGCCGCACAGAGAGGCAGGCTAAGCTGTGAGTGTTCAGGAGGGGCAGGGTGGGGTCTTCTGGGAGATGGCAACCCTTACGCCCTCCAGCTGAGATTGCCCCTCCCCCAGGGCCATCCTCATCAACCAGCTGGGCCTGTTCCTGATTGTGGGGAGCGCTGTTGGCTGTGGCATCATCATGTTCACACTTTACAGCGACTGTGACCCTCTCCTCGCTGGTCGCATCTCTGCCGCTGACCAGGTGAGCCCTGCCTGGTTGTGTACCCTTTCTCTGAGCCTTGGGGGTGGGGTGGAAAGGCATTCTTAGTAGAAGGAACAGCCTGTGCAGAGGTCCAGAGGCAGGAAAGAGCTTGGCTTGGAGGAAGATCTGGGAGGAGTAGGGACGATGAGGCTGAGAGGCATTGAAGAGCCCCGGTTGGTTATAAGCAGGGGTGGCGCATGTTCAGATCTGGAGTCAGAGAGGCCCCCTGGGGGAGGGCAAGGAGGAGATGGGCTGTAGTCTGGGCACAAAGTGTTGGTATTAATAATAATGACTATCTCCCATGTCCCGAGTGCCTACTCTGTTCCTCATGCTGTTCTCTGCACAAGCAGTTAGCTTCCCATCAAATACTCCAAGAGCTGATGAGTCAAGCTGTCATGACCCACTTTGCAGAGGAGGAAACTGAGGCTGGGGGGGAGAGGAAGTGACCCCCCTGAGGTCAGGTTATACAGAACCCCACCCTTGAGGAGTGGCTGTTCTAGAGCCTGGCCCCTGACTCCCCCCAGTACATGCCCCTGCTGGTGTTGGACATCTTTGACGACCTGCCTGGCATCCCGGGCCTCTTCCTGGCCTGCGCCTACAGTGGCACACTCAGGTGAGCTGCCCCATCTGCTTGCCTGGCCATGTCCACGTCCCTTGGGGTCTCCTTGCCCCCACTGTAGCCCATCAGGGGATGGAATGTTCTGGGCATGCCCACCGGTAACATTTCCTGATCTTTTCTCAGCGGTCAGCTCAGGTGGGCTCTGGCTGGGTAAACTTGAGCACGTGGACCCTGGCCCTGGGAGCTTTGCCTCCTTATCACCTGGCAGGGCCACAAATGACTCCCCTCCCTCCCTTCTTTTCTTTCTCCCTCCCTCCTTCCCCCCTTTCTTCTTTCCTTTCTTTCTTCCTTCCTCCCTCCCTCTCCCTCCTTCCCTTCCTTCTTTTCCTTCCTTCCTTCTTTCCTTCCCTTCCCTCCCTCTCTCCCTCTCTTCCCTCCTTCCAACCAATGTTTATTTAGCACCTACTACCTGGCAGGTATTGCTCTTCTAAATCCTGGTGTAAAGGCGTGACCAAACAGCTCCCACCCTGCCCTCAGCCCCCACCCTGCAGAGGTTTCAAATCCTCCACGACGCTGGCGCTCCCTCCTTGGAGAGGCCCCAACTGTGACCTGGGTCCCGTGTAGCACCTCTCTGCCCTTCCCTGCGCCTCCTTATTGCCCTGAAATGAGAAATCGCTCTCGCTCGTCCTCCTTGCGCGAGAATCCTTGGCCCCTGCTCCCAGCCGCAGCGGCGGCGGCAGCGGCGGCAATAGGGGCATCTAAGGTCTTGGGGCGGGGGTTTGGACATCTGTCCTGGGGACTCACTCACCCTCGCCTCTGCCCTCGGGTTGGAGGGGGTCTGGTAGGCCAGATGGTGCATGTGGGTGGGGGCGCCAGGAGCAGGTGGACCCAGGAGTGGGTGTGGCCAGTCCCCAGATGTGACCTGACCCCCACCTGCCCGTCCCAGTACGGCGTCCACCAGCATCAACGCCATGGCCGCCGTCACGGTCGAGGACCTCATTAAGCCGCGGCTGCCGAACCTGGCGCCCCAGAGGCTCGTGATCATCTCCAAGGGGCTCTGTGAGTTAGGGGGACCCGGGTGGGGGCCGGGGGCAGCATCTCCCCCTTGACCGCCCCATCCGTCTCCCACAGCTCTCATCTATGGCTTGTCCTGTCTGACCGTGGCAGCTCTGTCCTCGCTGCTGGGAGGTGGCGTCCTCCAGGTGAGCCCCGCCCCTCCCCGCCCGGCTCTCCCTGCGGCGTGGGGGCTTTGTCCCCATGAAACTGAGGCTCAGAGGGTGTCACACGCGTTGGTATTGACACTCACTGGGCTGGGGGGGAGGTGGGGGCGGAGGGCAGGGGGCGGGCAGGAAGGGCTCTGCAGTGGCTCGGGGGTGGGACTGCCTTGGCCTCATCAGCACTTGGAGGATTTGATGGGAAATTAACTGCTTGTGCAGGAAACAACGTGAGGATTAGAGTAGGCACTTGGGACATGGGAACTGGTCATTATTATTATTAATATCAAGACCGTCATTTGTGCTCAGATCACGACGCAAAATCAGCATCTTTGCCTCCAAACCAGGGGAGAGAGGCAGGAACAGGGTGACCCCCTTCTCGTAGAGAAACTGAGGCACGGAGGCGCCTCTTGGGGCACCCAAGCCCCACAGTGAATTCCTCAGTCACGTTTTCCCCCCATACCCAGGGTTCGTTCACTGTCATGGGCGTCATCAGCGGCCCCCTGCTGGGGCTCTTCATCCTGGGAATGTTTCTCCCGGCCTGCAACACGGCCGTGAGTAGGGGGGCGCTCAGAGAGGGACTGGGGGGCGTGGCTGGACAAACCCCGCCCTGAAGCCAGCCCCGCCTCTAGGGAGCCTTCTCCGGGCTTGGCGCGGGCGCGGCGCTCTCACTGTGGGTAGCCGTGGGTGCCACTCTGTACCCGCCCAGCGAGCAGAGCATGGGGGTCCTGCCCACCTCGGCCGCAGGGTGCGCGGCGTCGCCAGCCAACGCCTCTGGCCTCCTGGGTCGGTTGCTCGCCTCTAACGCCTCCAGCGGGGCGCCCAGGTGAGCCGGCTGGTGGGGCTGGGGCGTGGCCTGAGAGGGTGTGGTCAGGGCGGGCCGTTAACTGAGCCTTGAATGAGGAGTGTAACTTGGGACGAGGTGAGGGAAGGGCACTTCTGGCAGAGGGAACAGCAAGTTCAAAGCTGAAGGCAGGATTAAGTTTGGATACCAGCTACAGTGATGTTGGGGTAGATTTAATGGGATGAGGGGAGAATAGGAGCGGAGATCCAGCTGGAGGAACGTGGTTTTATTTTATTTTTTAAAATTGAGATATAATTCACATACCATAAAATTAACCATTTGAAAGTGTACAACTCAGTGGTTTTTTCACAAGTTTGTGCCATAATCACTATCTAACTCAAGAACATTTTCATCACCCCAAAGGAAACCCCACACCCATTAGCAGTCACTCTCAATGCCACTCCCTTCGGCTCCTGCAACTACTAGTCTGCTTCTGTCTCTGTGGATTTGCCTGTTCTGGACATTTCATATAAATGGAATCAGACACTATGTGGCCTTTTGTGTCTGGCTTCTCTCACTCAGCATGATGTTTTCCACGTTCATCCATACCGTAGCATGTATCAGAACATCATTCCTTTTTATGGCTGAATAATATTCCACTGCATGGATGGACCACATTGTGTTTATCCGTTCATCTGCTGATGGACATTTGGGTTGTTTCTACCTTTTGGGCTATGGTAAATAATGCTGTTATGAACATTTATGTATTAGCTTTTATGTGAACATATGTTTTCATTTCTCTTGGGTATATATCTAGGAATGGAATTGCTGGGTCATATGGTAATTTTGTTTAACTTTTTAAGAAACCACCAAACTGTTTTCCACAGCAGCTGCACCATTTTACATTCCCACCAACCATGCACAAGGGTTTCAACTTCCCCATATCCTTGCCAACACTTGTTATTGTCATTTTGATTCTAGCCATCCAGGTGGGTATGAAGTGGTATCTTAATGTGGTTTTGGTTTGCATCTCCCTGATGTCTACTGATGTCGATCATCTTTTCAGGAGCTTGTTGACCATTTGCTTATCTTCTTTGGAGACTTGTCTATTTCAAATTCTCTGCACATTTTTAAATTGGGCTATTAGTCTTCTTGTTGTTGAATTGTAAGAGTTCTTTATATATTCTGGGTAGATTCCTATCAGATATATGATTGACAAATATATTCTCCTATCCTGTGGGTTGTCTTTTCACTCTGTTGATGGTATCCTTTTTTTTTTTTTTTGAGTTAAAAAAACTTTTTATTGTGGAAAATTTCAAACATTTATAAAGTAAACAGTAGTATAATGAATATCCTTTTACCTATCACTCGGGTTTGACAATAATCAACATTCTACCACTTTGTTTAAGCTAACCTCCACCCACTCTGCATCTGCCACTTGATTATTTTTTAAGGTTAAAATTTGCATATATTAAAATGTCCAAATATTAACTGTTCAGCTTTGAAAATGGGTACATCTCTGTGACCCATATCACAATGAAGATATAGAACATTTACATCACCCCAGAAAGTGTCTTCCTGTCTTTTCCCAGTCAGTTCTTCTTCCACTCTCCACCCTCTAGGCAACCACAGTTCTGATTTTTTTTTCACTATGGATTAGTTTTGCCAGTTCTAGAATTTCATATACATGGAGCCATCAGATATGCACTCTTTTGTGCTAGGCTTCTTTTACTCAGCATTATGTCTGTGAGCTTCATTAATCTTGTTGCATGTATCCATAATTCATTCCTTTCTATTCCATGGTATGAATATATCGAAATGTATTTATTCAGTCTCCAGTTGATGGACATTTGGTTGTTTCTAGTTTTTAGTTATTTTAAAGAAGGTTGTTATGAACATCCTCGCACAAGTATTTTTGTGGACATGTTTTCATTTCTCTTAAGTAAAGTATTTAGGATGGAATAGCAGAGTTAATGGGTTGGTATATATTTAACTTTCTAGGAAATTGCCAAACTTTCTAGGAAATTGCCAAATCTTCCAAAGCGATTGTACCATTTTACATTTCAATTAGAAGTGTAAGAGAGTTCTGTTTGCTTTAGATCCTAACCAATATTGTCACTGGTCTTTTTAATTTTAGCCATTCTGATGGGTATGTGGTGATTTCTCACAGTGCTTTTAATGTTCATTTCCTTGATGTCTAAGGATGTTTAATGTTTTTCATATGTTTAGGGCCACTATGAGTCAGAATCCACTCGATGGCAATGGGTTTGGTTTTGGTTATTGGGCATCTATATATCTTCCTTTGTAAAATGTCTGTTCAAGTGTTTTGCCCATTTTTAAAAAATAATTTATTTTATTTTATTTTTTGTTGTTGTTGAGAATATATGCACCGGAACATACACCAATTCAACAGTTTCTACATGTACAGTTCAGTGACATTGATTATATACTTTGAGTTGTGCAACCATTCTCACCATCCTTTTCTGAGTTGTTCCTCCCCCATTAACATAAACTGACTGCTCCCTATATTTCCTTTCTAATTAAGGCCAGCATTCTTTACTAGTTAAGCTAAACTATAGTTTGGTTTTAAGAAGACTTCAGGGGATATTTTTGGTTTAAAGTTTAAAGATTATCTCAGGGCAATAGTCTTAGGGGTTCATCCAGCCTCCATGGCTCCAGAAAGCTTGGATTCCATGAGAATTTGAAATCTGGTCTGCATTTTTCCCCTTTTCTTGAGATTCTTCTGTAGTTGATAATGTCCTTTGGTATATAAAAGTTTTTAATTTTGATGAAGTCTGCTTTATTTTTTCTTTGGTCACTGTGCTTCTGGTGTCATATCCAAGAAATGATTGCCTAACTCAAGGTCATGAAGATTCACACCTTTGTTTTCTTCTAAGCGTTTAATTTGGTTTGATTCTGAGGGCAATGGGGAGCCATGGAGGGTGATAAGAAGGGGCAGGAGGTGATCTGAGCTACATTTTAGGAAGGCTCCCTCTGGCTGCATGTGGAGAACACCCAGGGAATGGAGAGGAGGGAGACAGGCTACCGCACCCAACCTAGCAGGCGCTGATGGAGGGCTCACTAGGCTAAGTCTGTGGAGACAGGAGGAAGTGGATGAGTTGGGGATGGCTTTTGGATACGGAAGGGGTGAAGGAGGAGGGCTATTGCCCATGTCTCCCACTCCCAGCTCCAGGATGGACCCCGACCAACCTGCCTTGGCCGACAGCTTCTATGCCATCTCCTACCTATACTACGGCACCCTGGGCACGCTGAGCTCCGTGCTGTGTGGAGCCCTGATCAGCTATCTGACCGGTGAGCACAGTGGGCGACCTCCTCACAGGTCACCCCATTCATCCCTCTGCCTCAAGGTCAGCAGGAAGGGGAGAAAGGACACTCCATTGGCCAAGTGCCCACTCTGTGATGGACACATCTGGGCCCTTAATGCTCCTGACAGCCCTATGGGATGGCAGTCACTTGTCCCATTTTGCAGGGGGAGAAACAGAGGCACCCCACCCCCACCAACACTAACACCAGGTCGTGGCTAGTCAGGGCCATGGTGGTGCTGTCCCTGGTGCTGAAATAGCTTCTGACTCCAACCTCTCGAGTCTCAGGTCTTGTGTGCACTAGGTTACCAAGCCTTTATTCAGCACCTCCTTTGTGCCAGGCACTGTTCTCAGTGCTGGGGACACAGCTGTGAGTGGAACAACTCATTGGACCCTCCAGGACATCCATTGACATCTTTCAATCTCTCACTGTGCAGATGAGGAAACTGAAGCTCAGAGAGGGGCAGAGTCTTGCCAGGGTTGCTATCAGAGCTGATATTTTAACACATCAGACTCCAGAGCCCAGGCTTCCCTGTCCCCCACCAGGGCCCCATTTCTAGCCCCCACTATCCCTTCATTAAATATCTCCCTTCCTCCTTGACCCTCAGGCCCCACCAAGCGCAGTGCTGTGGGCCCCGGGCTGCTATGGTGGGACCTCAAGAAGCAGACAGCGTCAGTGGCCCCCAAAGAGGAAGAGACCCCTCTGGATGACAACTTGGCTAAGGTGAGTCCCAGGGCCGGGTTTCTAGAATGGGGAGAGGGCCAGTGAAGTGGCTTTGGATGCTCTGCGCAGGGCCATAACTCAGGGGAGGGACATGGTGGGAGTCATGGATTTTTCCCATCTCTCTTTGCCTCCAGTTGAAAGACTCAGTTGGGAGCTAATGCGTCTTTCATACTTTTTATTACCCCAAAGGTCCCTGGGTGGTGCAAATGGTTTACACTCGGCTATTAACCTAACAGTTGGTGGTTTGAACCCACCCAGCAGCACCACAGAAGGCCTTGATATCTGCTTCCATAAAGGTTACAGCCCAGAAAACCCTACGGAGCACAGTTCTATTGTGTAATACATGGAGTCACCATGAGTCAGAGTTGCCTCAATGGTAACTGGCTTAACAAAGAGTGAGCAGAGTTTAATACTTTTTATTTTCCTTATATCTGTTTTTACAGTTACTTGCAGTTTATGGCAAGTGAAGCTGGTCCACTCTTAGGGTATTGATATCAAGTCTTCTTTCAAAATAAAATAACCCGTTAATAGTTTCCATCTATTCGGCCCTGACTAACAGCCACCCCATGTGTGTCAGAGTAGAACTGCGCTCCACAGGATTTTCAATGGCTGATTTTTCGGAAGTAGAGTACCAGGCCTTTCTTCTGAGGCACCTTTGGGTAGACTCAAACCTCCAGCCTTTCAGTCAGCAGCTGAATGTGTTACTCATTTGCACCACCCAGGGAGGCTGCCTTAGAGATTAGGCCTTCCCAAAAATAAATTGAGGTTCCTGTGTGGCAAAACTGTTTGTGTTCGATGGCTAAGTGAAAGGTTGTTGGTTCCAACCCACTCACTGGCACTGCAGAAGAAAGTTCTGGTGATCTGCTTCTATAAAGATTACTGCCAAGAAAACCCTGTGGAGCACAGTTCTACTCTGACATTCATAGCGTTGAATGACTTGACGACAACTGGTTAGTCAGGAAAATCAGCAGCAGCCTGTTGGAGGAGACGATGTTGAGCTCTGAAGGAGAAGAAAGAGCCAGCTATCAAGAGATCTAGGGGGGAAGGCATTCCCAAGGGAGGGCACAGCAGGTGCAAAGGCCCTGAGGCCAGAAGAGTCTTGGCAGAGGAGAGTTGAGGACTAGGAAGGGAAAGAATTTCGTTGAAGCTTTTTAAAGCTCCCTCCAGCTGCTGTGGGGAAATATTTCACTGATTTTCTCGAAAGGAGACAGGCAGAGAGGCAGAGAAAGGAGAGGTAGGAGGGAGGCAGTTACTGCAACAACCTATACAAGGTTGATGGCCTGGATTTGTAGGCATCATGGGCACAAGGTGAAGAAGTGGATAGAGGTTTTGGAGACAGGGAGTCCCTGGCTGGTGCAAATGGTTAATGTGGTTAGCTGCTCGCCAAAAGGTTGGAGGTTTGAGTCCTCCCAGTGGTGCCTCGGAAGAAAGTCCTGGCAATCTACATCCAAAGTCAGCCATTGAAAACTCTATGAAGCACAGGTCTACTCTGATACACATGGGGACTCAATGGCTCAGAGTGGACTCCACAGCAACTGATTTTTCTGGGAGGGGTAAAGACTGGAAAGGGGTATTATGGAACCCTGGCTGGCTCCCTTCCCAGGCTCCCATCTGAGATGAGCTGACATGCGGTCTTTCTTCTCCCATCCCCCCAGGGTCCCGAGGAACTACCCCTCGGAGACAAGAGGCCCCCTGATTTCCTGCTCATCCAGGAGGACCGCCTACTCGGCATGGGGCAGAAAGAGGTGGAGGTGGCTGGCTCATTCACCATCCACAGTGGCCAAGATGATGGCCCTGACCTGCGGGAGTCGACTCTCTGAGGGTGGGACCAGCAGGACTGACTGCCAGGGAGGGGATCTCTGTATTGGCCAATGTCAGGCTGGGGCTAATGGGCTAGCCTCCAACTGGCTGAACCCACATTGTCTGCAAATTAGTCTGAGAGACCCTGCCCTGCAAGCAGAGGAGAAACCCCACCTCCAGGTCCTTTTGTCCAGCCCCTGCCTCCAGCCACCTCTAGTCTTAGATGCTGCACCCCTGCTGCTCCTCTCAAAACAGTGCCAGATGTTTCTCTTGTTTAGAACACAGACATGTTAGGGTTTCCTCTGGACAACATGGAAAACCCCCAGGCCCAACATCAGAGTCTCAGAAAGACCCCAACTCTTCCCTGGGATACATCTGGATCTTAGAGAAGATTTGGGAGGTTCTCATATCCAACCCCTTGCACCCCATTTCAGAGGCAGAGAAACTGAGGCCCAGGGAGGGGCAGCAACTTGGCCAGGGTCACGCAACACACCAGGAACTCATGGAGAGTCTCTCCCTCCTTGACCCCCTCCCCATTTTCCTCCCTTGGGTGATCTGAAGCCCCTCCATCTCAAACCTTGGAAGCAGGAGGGAAGGAGGAAGGGGGGATGACTTTTTTGCTTTCCTCCTTGAACCTGATCCAGGCTGGGCACTTCAGCCATCTCCTCCGTCAAAAACCCTGAACCTATTTTAGGCAGGATGAAATTGAGGCTGAGATTGTCTGAGGTCACACAGCGAGAGGGTCTGGGCAGGGGTGGGTCCGGGGCTGCAGGATGATAAAGCCCCACTGTTTTCCCATCAGCGGCATAAAGGGTCAGGGTAGGGGCACGCTCTTGTCCCTGTGACACACTTGAGTCATCAAGAACTTGGGTGCTGGGGCTTGGTGTTCCATGCTCTCTGAAAAATTACCCTGCTGCCGCCTCAGAGCTCCTCAGTAAGATCTGAGTGCAAATCTCTGTCCCTCTGTTGTGAATTAAATTGTGTCCCTTTAAAAGATTTGACTAACCCGCAGTACCTGTGATCTTGCTTGGAAGTAAGGTCTTCGTGGATATTATCAGTTAGTTAACATGAGGTCATACTGGAGTAGAGTGGGTCCTAATCCTATACGACTGATGTCCTTATAAGAGGAGAAGAGACACAGAGAGACACAATTCTGGATTGAATCGTGTCCCCCAAAATTATGTGATGAAATCCTAACCCCTATACCTGTGGATGTGATCCCACTTGGGAACAGGGTTTTCTTTGTTGTGTTAATGAGGTCATATCAGTATAGGGTGTGTCTTAAACCTAACCACTTTTGAGATATAAAAAGAGCAGATGAGGCACAGAGGCAAGCAAACACAAATGGAGGGAAAGATAGATGCCAGGTGGAGTTTGCCAAGAAATCAAGAAATGCGAAGTCTACAGAAACTGAAAGAGATTATTCCCCCAGAGCCAACAGAGATAGAGCCTTCCCCTAGAGCCGGTGCCCTGAATTCAGACTTCTAGCCTCCTGAACTGCGAGAAAATAAATTTCTGTTCTTTAAAGCCATCCATTTGTGGTATTTCTAGTACAGCAGCTGTAGCTAAGACAGCACGTGATGCTGCAGCTGTAAGCCAAGGAATGCCAGAAGCCGCCAGAAGCTGAGAGAGAGGCTTGGAACAGATTGTCCCACAGAGTCTCAGAAGGAATCAACATGGCCAACACCCTGATCTAGACTTCTGGCCTCTGGAATTGAGACAATAAATTCCCGTTCTTGTAGGCCATCCACTTTGTGGTACTTTGTAACAGCAGCCACAGGAGACTAATACAGCCCCTACTCCCGACCCTCAGCCTGCAAGTAAATAAACTCAGTATTCACAGAGAGTAAGTCAGGTGATTACTTCAGTGCAAGGGTGTATCTCACTGCCCTCTTGGACACATAGCTCCTGAATCCATCCCCTCCTCACTGCCCACCCCCACAGTTTCTCCTATTATTAACATCTTGAATTTCTGTGGTACATTTGCTACAATTGATGAACCAATATGAATACATTATTATTCACTCAAGTCCATAGTTTCATGAAGGTTCACACTTTGTGTTAGACAGACCTGGGGGTTTTGACAAATGCATCATGTCCCGTGTCCACCACTACAATAACACATGGAATAGTTTCAAAGCCCTAAAAATGCCCGGTGCTCCACTTGGTCATCCCTTCCCCCCAGCAACCCCTGGCAACCACTGATTTTTTTCAGTGTCTCTATAGTTTTGCCTTTTCCAGAATGCCCTAGAATTGGAATCAAGTGGTATGTAGCCTTTTCAGATGGGCTTGTTTCACCTAGCAGTATGCATTTAAGGTTCCTGCATGTCTTTTTGTGGCTTGATAGCTCATTCTTTTTTATTGCTGACTACTACTCCATTGTATGGATATACCACAGTTTATTGATTCGCCTATTGAAGGACATCTTGCTTGCTTCCAACATTGGGCAATTATGAATAAAGCTACTATAAACATTCATGTGCAGGTTTGTATGTGGACACACATTTTCATCTCACTTGGGTAAATACCTAGGAGGGTGATTGCTGGATCATATGGTAAACCTACGTGTGGCTTTGTAAGAAACTGCCGGCCTGTCTTCCAAAGTGGCTGTACCATCTTGCATTCCTACCAGCCATGAATGAGAGTTCCTGTTGCTCCACAGCCTCATCAGCACTTGATGTTGTCAGTGTTTGGGATTTTAGCCATTCTAGTAGATGTGTAAGGAGTCCTGGTGGGGCAGTGTTTAAAGTGCTTGACTGCTAACAAAAAGTTCAGTGGTTTGAATCCACCAGCCCCTCTGTGGGAGAAAGATGGGGCAAACTGCTTTCATAAAGATTATAGCCTTGGAAACCCTGTAGGGCAGTTCTACTCTGTCCTGTAGGGTCGCTATGAGTCAGAATCAACTCCACAGCAACAGGTTTCAGTTTGTGTAAAAATGGTGTGGTGGGATCAGACCTCTTCATCTGACGTTAGGAGAAAGAGAGTGAATCAAAATCAGCATCACCCCAAAGCTGATCCCTGTGAGGTATAAGTCAGACGTCTCTCCTCTCTCCAGGCTCTTTTACGAATTCTGACACCAACCATCCCTCTCATGGCACTCTCTACTTCTCTACTGGGTTCGACAATTCATTGCAAAGGCCACACAGAACTAACTCACAGACAATACCCACAATTATGAGGTTTATTAGGGAAGTAACAGGCTACAACTCAGGATCAGAATCAGAAAGCATGTAAGCAAAGTCTCCCTTCTTCAGCACAGGATAGACCTCTCAGCTCTTCTCGGTCCCCTGAGGACAGGCCTCCTCTCTCAGCCCTTGACCCCGCTCGGCCTGGCCTCTGTCCTGCTCCGTCAAGTGTTACAAAGCTCTCTAGATCTGCCAATAAATGCCCGGAGACACCCTTCCGCCAGTAAATGAGCTTTCTCACGCAGTGAGTGGACACACCCATTGTAGCTGCCTAGCTCCGTGGGCTGGGAAACCCACCCCGCCATCTCACACTGGACTCTGCTGTGCTTGCCACCTTTCCTCATCGTCTCACACTGTCTCTGGTGCTACAGCTGTCTGTCTCCTGGATCCAGGAGATTCTCAGTTCAGAGATCCTGATTCCGAAGGACGCACTCCACTCCTGGCTTTTCTTTCTTTATGACAGTGAGGTCCCCTTCTCACTTCTGAGACTGGCTCCCTTTAAGCCTAGCGGGATGGCAAAATTGACCAATCCCTTTGTTAGGGTTCTATACACCTTATTTTCATGGTGCCATTCCCCCGCAAGGGTTCTATGCACCTTATTTGCATTGTTAGCAAGCTGTCCAATCCCCTTGGTAGGCCACAAGTACCTTACTGGCATAGTCCCACTCAATCATTGTGTGGGAGTCACAAGACTATGCTTGGCTAGAAGGTCATACTAGGTAATTCGCTACAGCACAGTTTGGTTTAGTAAGTGCGTAATGTTAACTCATCATTATTTTAACTCACAATTCCCTAATGATATATAATGTTGAGAATCTTTTCATATGTTCGTTTGCCATCTGTATGTCAGTCTTTGAGGAAGTACAGCCAGAATACTTAGAAGTGAGGGTGGTTAGACTTTATCTTGCTTACTTTGGACACATCATCAGGAGGGACCAATCAATGGAGAAGGACATCATGGTTAGTAGAGTAGAGGATCAATAAAAAAGACAGAGATTATGGTGCAATGGATCACTTTTGTGTGGCCTTTCTAGCAATAGTCTTGCAACTCCCACCCAAGTGGTTGGGCGGAACTGTGGGATAGGGTAATTGTGGCCCACCAATGGATTAGTCAACTTTGCCATTCCACTGGGCTTGAGGTGAGCCATCCCAGAGGCAGGGGAGAGAGGGTCCCACCACCACCAAGGAAGAACAGCCAGGAGCCAGCACGCCCTTTGGACCTGGGATCCCTGTGCTGAGAAGCTCCTGGCACCAGGAGACAGAGAAAGGTAGAGCTGTAACACTGAAGACAGTGAGAAGCGGTGGCAGAGACCTAGCAGCAGAGACCCAGCAGCAGGAGATGGTGTGGTGGGCTTCCCGGCCCATGGAGAGAGAAAGCTGAGTGCCTTTTGGCTGAGGTTGAGGGCCAGAGAGAGGCATGCCTGCGAGCATGGCTGGGAAGAGGCTGTCCTGATGGAAGAACTGTATCCTGAGTGTTCTTGAGCCTGAATTGTAAATGTTACTTCCCTAATAAACCCTATAACCATCAGTATTTTCTGAGAGTTCTGTATGGCCATTGTAATGAACTATCGAATCCGGCAGAGAAGTAGAGAGTGCCGTGGGAGGGGACATTTGGTGTCAGAATTGGTAAAGATGGCAGAGAGAGGAGGTATGTCGGACCTCTGCCTCATAGGAATCAGCCTTGGGCTGTTGATCTTGATTCTCCTTCCCCCTTGTGAAGTTAGAGGTTAGACACCTCCCCCATGCCGTTTTTACAGAGACCCTCAAAGAGATAGGTTGACAGAATGGCTGCAAAAAATGGGCTCAAACATAGCAATGATAGTGAGGATGGTACA